CACCAACAATGACTATACAGGAGTGAGTGAGTGAGTTTAGTTTTACGCCGCACTCAGCAATATTCCAGCTATATGGCGGCGGTCTGTAAATAATCGAGTCTGGACCAGACAATCCAGTGATCAATAGCATGAGCATCGATCTGCGCAATTGGGAACCGATGACATGTGTCAACCAAGTCAGCGAAACTGACCACCCGATCCCGTTAGTCGCCTCTTACGACAAGATAGTCGCCTTTTTATGGCAAGCACATGGGTTGCTGAAGACCTATTCTACCCCGGATCTTCACGGGTCGACTATACAGGAACAGTTCACACCAACAATGACTATACAGGAACAGTTCACACCAACAATGACTATACAGGAACAGTTCACACCAACAATGACTATACAGGAACAGTTCACACCAACAATGACTATACAGGAACAGTTCACACCAACAATGACTATACAGGAACAGTTCACACCAACAATGACTATACAGGAACAGTTCACACCAACAATGACTATACAGGAACAGTCCACACCAACAATAAATATACAGGAACAGTTCACACCAACAATGACTATACTGGAACAGTTCACGCTAACAATGACTACAGGAACAGTTCACACTAACAATGACTATACAGGAACAGTTATCACCAACAATGACTATACTGGAACAGTTCACACCAACAATGACCACACAGGAACAGTTCACACCAACAATGACCATACAGGAACAGTTCACAGACTATAAAGGAACAGTTCACAGACTATACTGGAACAGTTCACACCAAGAATTACTATACAGGAACAGTTCACACCAACAATGACCATACTGGAACAGTTCACAGGCTATACAGGAACAGTTCACAGACTATACAGGAACAGTTCACACCAACAATAAATATACAGGAACAGTTCACACCAACAATGACTATACACGAACAGTTCACATACTATAAAGGAACAGTTCACAGACTATACTGGAACAGTTCACACCAAGAATTACTATACAGGAACAGTTCACACCAACAGTGACTATACTGGAACAGTTCACGGGCTATACAGGAACAGTTCACAGACCATACAGGAACAGTTCACACCAACAATGACTATACAGGAACAGTTCACACCAACAATGACATTACAGGAACAGTTCAAAGACTATACATGAACAGTTCACAGGCTATACAGGAACAGTTCACACCAACAATGACTATACAGGAACAGTTCACACCAACAATGACTCTACAGGAACAGTTCACACCAACAATGACTATACAGGAACAGTTCACACCAACAATGACTATACAGGAACAGTTCACACCAACAATGACTATACAGGAACAGTTCACCAACAATGACTATACAGGAACAGTTCACACCAACAATGACTATACAGGAACAGTTCACACCAACAATGACTATGCAGGAACAGTTCACACCAACAATGACTATACAGGAACAGTTCACACCAACAATGACTATACAGGAACAGTTCACACCAACAATGACTATACAGGAACAGTGATCACCACAATGACTATACAAACAATGACTATATGCAGGAACAGTTCACACCAACAATGTTACAGGAACAGTTCACCAACATATGACTATACAGGAACAGTTCACACAATGACTATACAGGAACAGTTCACACTAACAATGACTATGCAGGAACAGTTATCACCAACAATGACTATACAGGAACAGTTCACACCAGCAATGACTATGCAGGAACAGTTCACACCAACAATGACTATACAGGAACAGTTCACACCAACAATGACTATACAGAAACAGTTCACACCAACAAGCTGCATTCTCCTGAGTTCGGATCACATTACACAGATATTGAAAATGAGCCATTGTGAGATTCAGAGAAGGATGAAACCTAGACTTGTTGAACCTAAGGTTTCGCATTGAGGAAAGGGTTCGGCATGTGGAAAATGTTGTTTAGGGACTGTGAGACGGACAAATGCTCCACAAGCGTCGAGGACGTAAATGGATTGGTTCAATATGTCAAAGCACTTCCAACATGTATCATTCACGTGCACGCTGGAGCTCTTCAAATGTCATCCTATTTGAGGAATGAAAGATAGTATTTCCTTTGGTCCCAGTGGTATTGTTTACAGTCCTCAACACAATATGCTATCTGTGCAATTCATACACGTTTTAAAAAATGAGATTGTGACTCCCTTTGTCAAACCAAAAGCGTGTCCTCGTGTGTTCGAGTTCCGGTTATTCTCGGTCATATTTCTAGGTTTGTAAGCACATGCCAGTGAGTCGAATACACGCATCACTTGCTTCCCACGTTTGTCAGACACTGGAATACAGTTCAAAGCGGCTTTACCCACGTGTTCAGGGTCTACCTATTCTTGATGTCAAGTAGATACTTCTGTTCAATAATTTACTAGAATTGATATTAAACAGGTCATTTATTTTAAGGGCAATATCGATTTTTAGGATATTTAAACTTGACAGGTCCTTCACTGCTTCTTTTCGAGTCTGCTACATCTCAAAGCGCATGTTTTTTACGTCGAGGACAAAATAGAGATTTATGCGTCAGCAATGTCCAGCAAGTAACCGAATTTCGTTCACAAAACACATATGGTCAAAGATTGCAGACGTCTGTCACATTTAGGAGAGTGACTGTCAGTTCTGTTTACTTTGTTCAAAGTAGCTGTCAGTACATCTCCCTATATATTAACACTAGTATCGATACATGATACTATCAGTACACCCCCGTATCTCCCACTACAATCACCCATACACAGATGATAGTATCAGTACACCCCCGTTACTGCCACTACAGTCACCCATCAATACATGATAGTATCAGTACATCCCCGTATCTGCCACTACAATCACCCATCAGTACACATGATAGTATCACTACATCACCCATCAATACATGATAGTATCAGTACACCCCGTATCTGGCACTACAATCACCCATCAATACATGATAGTATCAGTACACCCCCGTATCTGGCACTACAATCACCCATCAATACATGATAGTATCAGTACACCCCCGTATCTGCCACTACAATCACACACCAATACACACCCCCGATAGTATCAGTACGGCCCTGTATCTGCCATGATAGTATCAGTACGGCCCCTGTACATTTACCCTGTCAGTACATGATAGTATCAGTACACCCCGTATCTGCCACTATAGTATCACAATCAATAGATGAGATTTCTACTATTGCTACAAACTAACACCCTTGAAGTAATTAATAAAGACGATAGCTCCAGGTGCGAGGCTGTGGCAAGTGGCGGAGTTATACAGAACACCTATCTATTCCCAGTATGTGTCCAGCATGGATAACATCTGGTGAACTCCCAGGTGTCTAAAGATATGGCGGTCTAAGTTTTGGGAGGTTACCGCCCAGCCAGTGTACAGGGTTATTACTCTTGAGGCCTCAGATACATTCGACGTCCTAATTCATAACCGGATTATCACAAGCGTCACAAGAATACTTTCGTGGGCGGACCGTATATCGGCTTACACATCCTGTAGGAGAGGAAACATTCCTTACCCCTACTCCCCAACCTCTACACCCACTTATTCTATTACAGTACAGTACAAAACATATCCTAAACTCTTGATCCAAAACATTTCTAAAACACACAGGGCTCCTTGTAATGTTATCTATTCACGGACAGCGAAGCCTAACTTATCAATGCGGAACTAATGTTTTCATGCATTTACCTAAGATAACAGTGACAGTTTCATTAGCAGAAGGGCTGATATCTTGATAATTATATACTCCTTATGCAGTTAGACTCGTCAGGAATACATAATATTCATTGCATATCGAATAGGTGCTGAATACGTCACCCCTTGAAGAACTCCTGTCCCCGTTGTGCCCCTGTTTGAGTATAGTTAGGTGATAACGGAAGCAGCCACCTTCCCTAAAGTAACAGGATTTCACTCTCATTTCAGTTACTTCGTTTGTTTATGTCACAATTTTAGCGATTACATGAAGAAGTCAAGTGTTCAGTGTATTTGGATCAACGTTCAGCATGTATTGTCCATTGACCTCAGTAGTTGTAAGCGCTGACATGGAGATCAGGCACATAGGACCCCATTTCCTAATGCTTCACTCTTCTTCTTATGAATATCACAAACATCGCCATTACAGGAAATACTGAACAGAAACCCTTGATGAATGTCAATGGAAAGGAAATGGTGACTGTTTGAGTGAGGACGGTGAGTCTGGAATACAGATCATCTCTCAAGATATGAAGATGAACTAGTACGTAATACGATCATGGGAAGGAATATAACGATATGATAAACTTTCAAACAAACTGGTTTCATTGAGCCAGTCTATAAGTCACTATTTGTACATATCAGAGTGTGTTGTATTATCCATGCTGTAAAATAGTCAATAAAGTATGCTACTCATTAGACACAGGCTAATATGGACCAATAAGTATATAATTGATAGATAGACCTATAGAATACTAAGGCTATCACAGTGGTGTAGTGTTGCCCTCGGTCTGAGGCTGTATATTTAATTGAAATAATCAAAAAGTACAACCTGTGGTTGACAGAATGAGATACGAATGATGTGGGAAGGTGACACTGAGCCAACAAATATTTTGTTACCTGGTGACCCGACTTCATATTTTGGATCAAAAGCGACAAAACCTATACTCGACAATCATAAGAAATCACTCACCGTTAAGATATATAACATCATATCGGTATTTAGCATATCAGTATTTAGCACAGGAGGGAAAGTACGTGCGCGTGTACATATTTCAGCTTCAACTGATTATAGTCAGGTGTCCGAAATTAATTCTTCCATGTAAGTTTGTTACAAGCCCGGAGGACGCAAGAACCAGGTGTATCTAAGAGTCAAACAAGATGTTTGTCAGTGTGTGTGTGTGCGTGCGTGCGTGCGTGCGTGCGTGCGTGCGAGAGAGAGAGAGAGAGAGAGAGAGAGAGAGAGAGAGAGAGAGTAAGAGTATAACGTGTAAGTTTACATACCTTAACTCCCCATACTTGCAAGGGTTCATCTTTGCTAGAACAGTTACCAGTGAGGCCCACGTTCTGTGAGAGTGCTAGGGGTAGAAGCCATACATACATTATGCCCAATGTACCAGCCATGGTGAAGGGCGGGCTTGTCAGCCGGTCTCGGGTCTGAATACGACTGAGCGACATCGCAGTTACGTGAACTGGACTGCGTCACGAACAGACCCGCCGTTATTATAGAAGTCCAATCACAAGCAAGCTTAGCTTTACCGTTTCAACTGAGTCACTTCCTGTGCCAAGAATGTGAGATATAAATTTTGCATAGATAACGTATCCATTTCTCTCTCTCCCACATCTACAACTACTGACTGACTGACTGAGTTTGGTTTTACGCCGCTTTTAGCAATATTCCAGCAACATCACGGTGGGGGAACATCAGAATCTACAACTACTACTACTACTACTACTACTACTACTACTACTACTACTACTACTACTACTACTACTACTACTACTACTACTACTACTACTACTACTACTACTACTACTACTACTACTATTACTACTACAACTACTACTACTACTACTACTACTACTACTACTATTACTATTACTACACTACTACTACTACTACTACTATTACTGCTACTACTACTACTACTACTACTATTACTACTACTACTACTACTACTACTACTACTAATGGTAGAAATGGGTTTCACACCATGTGGAGAATCAAACACGGGTCTTCCGCGTGACGAGCGGACGCTTTAATCAATAAGCTACCCCGCCGTTTCTGAAAAAATGTTATATACCTTAAAACAAAAGCCGGCCGTTGTTGCCGAAGCTTTTTAGACTACACCGTTTGAGATTAGACTGACTGAGTGAGTATGGTTTTACGCCTCTGTTAGCAATATTCCAGCAATATCACGGTGGGGGGACACAGGAAATGGTCTTCGGCGTGACGAGCGAACGCTTTAACCTCCAGGCTAACCCCACCTCCCTTGATTTCAGACACCATGTTTGTTGAGGCAATGGGGAGGAATATCTTATTATATTCATTTCATTAGTCATTGTTGTCTGTCTATTATCAGCTGCTTCCCAACAATTGCTGGCAAACTCTCAGTAATGGATGACCTTGTCGTTTATAGTATTCGCTTAAGAAAGCATATATTCGCAAGGAAGACCACCTCTCTCGGTGAAAACTATGTGTCAGTGTTACTGGACACGAGCCTGGTTTGTGTTAAACTGGTAGAACGTAATTAGGTCACAAACAATTTATCTACGTCCTGGTTTAGAGCTGCGGATATAAGATCGACATCTCAGTTGAGTGGCGAGTGAGTGTTGAACTAACTTCACTCGCAATGGTATGTGCACTATAAGAAGTTGTGATTTTAGCATCCAAGTAAAGGCTGGCCGGATCAAATTAACGCAACATCAACATGTAAAAACCTAGTTGAGTACATTTCGACCGAATGTAATGTAACGACTAAGGTATCGAATCTATAAATTAGATGTTGTACACAAAATAGTTAGAATCTGATTTGCAGATTGACAACATACCCGCCAAAGCCGAGGATTAATTTGTAATCAAAACAAGGAAATGTAGAGCAATTAAATAACACAAGCCACACGGTAATAGTTGGAAGACGCATTATTCCAACAGAAAGCCTAACACATTTATTCATACCATTTGATGCCTGTCCCATTTGATGTCAGTTACATTTCATGGCTGTACTATTTCATGTCTGTACCATTTGATGTCTGTCCCATTTGATGTATGTCCCATTTGATGTCAGTACCATTTGATGTCTGCCCCATTTGACGTCTGTCCCATTTCATGTCAGTACCGTTTGATGTCTGTACCATTTCATGTCAGTCCCATTTGATGTCAGTACCATTTGATGTCTGTCCCATTCGATGCCAATACCATTTGATGTCTGTGACACTTGATGTATGTACCATTTAATGTCTACACCAACTAATGTCTGTACCACTTGATGTCTGCACCACTTGAATTTTGTACCATTTTACATCATTTCCATTTGATGTCAGTACCATTTGATGTATGTCCCATTTAATGTCTGTACCATTTGATGTCTGTACCATTTGATGTAAGTAGCCTTTGATATCTGTACTACTTCATGTCTGTTCCACTTGATGTCTGTACCACTTGCTGTCTGTCCCACTTGCTCTCTGTCCCATTTGATGCCTGTACCACTTGCTGTCAGTACCATTTGATGTCTGAACATTTGATGTCAATACCACTTGATGTCAGTACCATTTGATGTCTGTCCCGTTTGATGTCTGTACCATTTGATGTCAGTACCATTTGATGTCTATACCACTTGATGTTTGTACCATTTGATATCATTACCATTTGGTATCAGTACCATTTGATGTCTGTATCATTTGATGTCAATACTATTTGATGTCAGTGCCATTTGATGTCTGTACCATTTGATGTCAATGCCATTTGATGTCTGTACTACTTCATGTCTGTACAATTTGATGTCTGTACCACTTCGTGTCAGTACCATTTGATGTTAATACCATTGATGTCTTTACCACTTGATGTCTGTACCATTTGATGTCAGTGCCGTTTGATGTCTGCACCACTTGAAGTTTGTACCGTTTGATATCATTACCATTTGATATCAGTACCACTTGATGTCTGTACCATTTGATGTCTGTACCACTTGATGTTTGTACCATTTGATATTTTTACCATATGATGTCAGTACCATTTGATATCATTACCATTTGATGTATGCACCATTTGATGTCTGTACCACTTGATGTCTGCACCATTTGATGTCTGTACCACATGATGTCTGCACCATTTGATGTCTGTACCGTTTGATGTCTGTACCATTTGATGTTTGTACCATTCGTCGCCTGCGTTACGGTACGTCGGTTTTATCTGCCGACTGCATTGTGGATTACTACGTTATTTGACTTCTGCCTTCAAGGAACACTACCTTCCTTTTCGAAATAATGTTAGCATGTTTCGAACAAGGTACTGACATAATGATGCAATGTGTATCTGTTCATGTTTATCGCTTTGGACTTTGGAGAGGGATTCTATTTACATCGACCAGGTATATATGCTAATGTCCGCTATATTATAGCTGCGGTAAGACACCATTATGACTCGGTGTGACACGTGTATAATACTACCATTTGGTCACTTTTACAGGCTGATGTTTAAAACTATCTAGCAATGGGGACTGAATTCCGACATGTGGAAACTCGCAGATTGTACTATCCCTTGTCGGCTGGAATGACCTCAGCAAGACAGATGTGTGTATATGAGCTCATCTTGCAGAAAGTACGTTCAATTTAAAGCAGGTGCTTGATGGTTACATCAATTGCTAATGGTGCTTCATGGTTACCTCAATTGCTAATGGTGCTTCATGGTTACCGCAATTGCTGAAGGTGATTCATGGTTAACTCAATTGTTAAAGGTCAAACAACTGACATACTTCAGACCACAGACCATTTCACGACGAATGCAGTTGCAGTTAGCGTTTTGCATTCAAACAACTCACTTATAACCTGATATAGTCTGAAGCAGCGTCAAATGCCATTCTGAACGCAAACAGAGTGCCAGCAGAACGTTCAATTGGAAAGACATGCATTTCAAGTGAATAGATGTCAGTCATTTGTGAGCAATGGAACGTCAGCCATCATTCTGAACATTATGTCGTTATTCTTCAAGCCAAACTCTGCTTGTGACGATCCAGTTTGACATTGTGAAGCAGAGCCGGATATCGCAGATCATTACATTACTGGTTAAAGTGTTGTGTTGAACTCACAGGACGTCCTGGTCTGATTAAAGAAACCATGCATAGATGTCTCGATATGATCGAGAATATTCCTTGCCATTTTATCTTCTTTGTACTATATAGTGTAGATGTAGGTGGATGGGTCTGATTAAAACAACTTTGACATTATTTCAGCTGTTTTGGGAAGGGGCAGCATCAGCAGAAACCTGTTGTCAACTAAATTTCGGACACAAGTCTAATTGCCTGTTTCCTGAAATATCCAAGCAAAGGTCTGGGTTTAGAAAACAAGAATCATTTGGGCACTTAACTGATTTTCTCTGGACAGTTGTCCATGCATGCATGTTCGTGCATGCTCTATGGCACCGTAGAACTGGCGTTACAGTGTCAGTAGGCTATCTCCATAATGTTTGTTTTGCATACACGATTTATCTTGTATATTACTTGCCAAGACACGCCATAACCACAACAGCCAAGCTTTTCAATCCTACCAAAATCATGTATACTTCTGATCAGCAGTGATATGATAACAGCTCACCATTGCCTGTTGACGGTGCATGGCTGAGAAGATAACCGGACAGACAAGCTTTGTTTCACATTCCCCCGCCTCAGTGGTGGGTGTGGCAGACAAACACACCACACGCCAGGAGCTAGACATCGGTTACTTACAATAACACCAACCCCTATACCTCAGTGGTGGGTGTGGCAGACAAACACATCACACGCCAGGAGCTAGACATCGGTTACTAACATGAACGCTAACCCCTCTGCCTCAGAGGGGGGTGCGGCAGATAAACGCACCACTCGGCAGCAGCTCGACATCGGTTACTAACAATCACACCAACCCCTCTGTCTCAGTGATGGGTGTGGCAGATAAACACATCACACGCCAGCAGCTCGACATCGGCTACTAATAATAACATTAACGCCTCTGCATCAGAGGTGGGTGTGGCAGATAAACACACCACACGCCAGGAGCTCGACATCGGTTACTCACAATAACACCAACCCATCTACCTCAGTGTTGGGTGTGGCAGACAAACACACCACACACCAAGAGCTCGACATCGGTTACTAACAATAACACCAACCCATCTGCCTCAGTGGTGGGTGTGGCAGAAAAACACACTACAAACCAGAAGCTCGACATTGGTTACTAACAATAACCCCAACCCCTCTGCCTCAGTGGTGGGTGTGGCAGACAAACACAAACAACACCAGGAGCTCGACATCGGCTACTAACAATAACATTAACCCCTCTGCCTCAGTGGTGGGTGTGGCAGTCAAACATATCACATGCTAGGAGCTCGACATTGGTTATTTACAATAACACCAACCCCTCTGCCTCAGTGGTGGGTGTGGCAGACAAAGACATCACGG